CCATTGTGACTAAGGCAGAGCTGAGTCTGAAAAAGCTCTAGAGGTTTAAGTTGATCTTCAGCATCATGCTTTTCTACGGTCATAAGTCATGGGCCATGACGGGAAAAGCTCAATCCCTAGCACAAGCGGTTGAAATATGTTGAGACGAATCGCTGGCCTTACGCGTACCGACACAGTCCGGAGTACATATATCCGAGACAGCCTTGGTGTGGAGCCATTGCTTCTTCAGACTGAAATGTCACAGCTGAGATCGTCTGAGCACGTATTACGAATGCTTGCAGAAAGGAAAGCGACACAACTACTGCTTGTTCAATCGACGGGTCGAAGTCCTAGGAGACGGCCACGAATGACCTGTGGCAATTGCTTCGAAAGAATCGGTTCCAGACTCGAGTTATCTTATGCCGAAACTCAAATGCTGGCACAGTATTGGGAAGGTTAGCGACACTGTATGACGCGTTTTCCTCCGAGAGTCAAAAGAGCAAGCGACCATCGAAACTGACTGGCAGCGATTGTGATTAACGGAAATCGAGGTAGTGGTAGTGGTTACATTCCTATCTCCTTCATCATTTCTATCTGACGCAGATGGGTATTCAGAAAATGTTACGATGTCGGCCGTTCTCAGCGATGTTCAGCGTACCAGTTAATCGAATCGTGGACGTGTATGCAGTCAGAACCTGTTCGGCAGCTAACATCTCAACGTCAGCACAGTCCAGACGTTGTGGCATTGCGGTTTCTTATGCGCTACGCTATTTTCGCAAAAATGACTATCATACCGCAGTGTGCTTCCGCGCGCAGATAATAGTAGACAAGATCGAACCTTTTGCAGGGGGGTTCATTCTTAATTTATGCAATAACACACCGGTTTTGTTCATCTGTGACAAGTAAATAGGTTATGATGTAAGCGGACCTGTTATCCGCTTGTAGCGATAATTTAGGGTATGCAAAGCTCTAAACCGTATTAAGTGGTTCGGGAAGAGAGAACAAAATTACAAGTTAAGCAGAAAGAATTATGCCATTGTACTTTTCCTTTAATTTTCTGCCAAGTTTTACTCTTTTTGTTAAGTGAACATTTACTTTGGAGAAGCATCGGGCACAACTAAAAAGTACCGGCTTCTGCTTTACTGAAAAAGACCACAAAACAGACACTTACTTTCACTTTCTCGGTGAACTGTGAAACAGAGTAGGTACGTAATTTGTTCTCAGCCGCCAGCGAAGTCAGCACCGCGTGAATGCCCTCAAACATCTGCCTAAGAGACTGAGTATCGCCGTCTGGGCACATGTCCGTTTCCATGCGTTTACGAGTCCAACTGATTACCAGCGACTCGGCGTCAGACGTACGTTCCAGATGAGAAGACATCGACATGTCACCTGCACACTCCTTCTGTTGTACTCTGCTTACTGAAGTTTCGAATGTGGAAGGCTGTGAAAAACAAGAAGTATGAAAGCAGTAATTAAAACATTTACAGTTAAAAACAAATGTAATAAACATACACCAAACATCGATAATCAGAAACAGCTTAAATCGTAATGAAAGACTTTGTAGGAGCCATTTCACCGGTTTACATGGCAAGTGCAACGTCCAGTAACAGATTGCTGCTGCAGGGGTCATTTGAGCAGACCATGGCTCCATAGTAATTGAGCAGCTGCAGTGCCAGATGTATTTCGTCCTTATATTCGCTAGAGCCACCTCGCGCTCACTACAAACGGTGTTTCAGAAGACTGCACTCCTTATATGCTACAATACAAACATCATAAGTTTCTCGTATATCGAAGTATGTCCGACACCGCATAGCCTCTACAGTATTAGATTTCGCTTCAGCGTATGAACAAGTTATGATGTCATGCGGTAGCATATAAGGAGTAACAGTTCTAGAAATATTGTTCGTGATGTGCGCGAGGTGTCTCTAAAGGATAAAAACGAAGCGAGATGCATATAGAAAGGCAGGACTCGAATACCAACGAGCCGTGATATGCTAAAAACCTCATGCAGCTTGATGGCACAGAGTCTAAAAGGTTTGCATCGAAATCCGGAGGTACCGAGTTCGACTTCGATCGAGGAAAATCTTCGTCTTATTTACGAATACGAATTCGTATTAGCAAAAAATTTACCACACATTGCTTTAGACCGGAGTTGTTCAGTCAGTGGAGCGTCGAAATCAGAATCGACAGGTTCTGAGTTCAAGCCCCGGTCAGGGTCACTCGCCCTTCTTCCTTCCGAGGTTGTTAAATGAGTACCATTCTGTGGGAAGGAAAGAGGATATTACACGCTACGCTTGCCATGTGTCGGTAGATTCTACCTTTAAAATAAGGCACCCATAGCTACAGCACAGAAACGGAGATTAGGGCCGCACCATTAGCTTCGTCAAAAAAAGACGCGAACATGGGCCAGTCATGAAAGTGAAGAATGACTGACATTCCGACAAACTAAATGCACCATAGGCAACTAGGGACAAGGGGGCGGGACAATATGCCATGATATTAGAACTTGGAGAAGTCGTGGACTATTGTCGTAATTCGGGCGTACGACCAACGTATGATGCTTATATCTCTGAATAAAAGATTAGATTTTCTGTCACGGTTATCAAGGGCTAAATATATTTTTATCCACAAGCCAGTCAAACGAGTCCAATAATGCATTATGAGATGATGAAGAACGAACGAAACTGTTATGCGAAACTGTGTTGTTAAGCCCTTCAAAGCACCTATCCTGATCTATGGTCAAGTGTATTCTGTACTGGGGAAAATATTATACTGGATACAGGAGAAAAGGAATTTCTTGCGAAATGCTGAAGAGACAACGTTCGACGAACTGAGGAAAATAGCAGTTTGAAACATTCTCGCTTGTGAGCCTGTCCCTCTTCTGACCGAAAGATAATAACTGCTATGATCTGCGTAAGTGATAAGGTCGCTGAACGAGCAACTCGCAAGAAGGATTCTGTAAACAAAGCTACACGGCAGGTCAGACGATTGGGTATAGTGGAAACATATATGGTGTTTCCACCTCTGAGCTTTAGAATCCAACCCACGGAGCTTGTCTGGTTGATGGAGGATGGGAAATCCTGATAATACCTGGTGACAGTGCTGCTCCCGCAGTCAGAACCGAATGCTGGACTCAAAAAACTCTGAAATGGATGAAAAAATAGACGGATACAAAAGGTTTACCAAGAAAATGCGACAGAAGGTTCTTGGCGAAAAATATCTGATATTACAGGTGTCATAAGGTCAAAACGTCAAAGTTCACTGTCAATTTGATGAAGTTTAACATATCTTTAGTCCCTTGTACGATGAACCCAAATGCAGACCATACCTTCTCGTGACCAGTTTTTTCGTTCGGTGAAACCCCGACTGCCGCTGAAACACTCGATTCGGAAACGAAGTTGTTTCCGTTTCCATTGTCACTGGAAGTCGTCCGTCCGTTGCCTCCTTTGCTCCGGGCAGTGTTTAATTCATTAGAAATCTCAGCCTAAAGAAACCAAGAAATTTACGCGTCATCACAGACCGATGCGAGATGAGACGAAGCGACGATGGGCGTTGTTGAATCGAACGAGTTCTAAGGCAAGGCCAAGTTCTAAGGCAATGTAAGGCACTTACGGCGGTCGAGAGAGTGGCTTTCAATTTCTCTAAAACGATTCGGCCGGCTGCTTGGCACGTGTTGAAGCGACTGCGAATATCATCGTCGTTGCCGTCCTCCGTGGTGGTGCCCCGCGCCGGCACATCGCGGTCGTTTTCAGTCAGCTTCGCCAACCAACTTTCTACTTGCTCGATCAATTTCTGCAATTTTGTCGTTTCGTCACTTATATCACATATGGCAATGCGCAAAGCCGTCAACGAACTTGAACGTTTCCATCGTCAGTCGTCGGCATGCCGCCCGGTGGTTGTTTGTCGCATTCGTATTCGATACTTCGGAAAAAGTGGCTGGCGCGATCGATTAGATCCTGACATCCTTCGGACGTCTCGTCGGTTTCCGCGATCCGTTGCCGGATTTCTTCAACCTGAAGACAAAACACACAAACATGTTATGTTGTGTTGAAAGTTATATTTATTAAACATTCAAGAGAACAACAGCGTGACGTTGACCGACTATATTCTCCGCCAACCGTACTATTGATGAATAATTTTACCTGCGAGACGCATTCATAATGGCAACTTAGAAAACAGGTTATCGAATCTTGAGTAAATGCACAATTTTTGAAGTTAACGTCTTTCTCATGGATTTACCAGAGCTAGCAAATACCCTGAGCCATTTGCCAATTCCGGCTGGAAACGTGGAGAAATGTTCTAGAGAACGTTGGACTTTGGATTAGAAGGGATAAAGAGAATTTTAATAACTGCTGCTTCAACATTCGCATAAAGTAAGTTCAGAAAGACAATGAAGCTGGACAGTGAATGGGCCCAAGAACAAGAGATCCATAGTCTAAGCACCTAAAGTGCGTAATGCAGAGAAAGGCCGGAAAACGAGCAATGAAATCAAAGCTACATGACAACCGTCCTTCATACCACATGGAAGAACATAAATAAAAGTAGTATATCAGTATGGAATGGACAAGTAATTCGATTCACTAATCACTAACGGATGCCGGCTATCGCCGATTGATACCCACTGGATAATAAAAAAACCGCCTAACGTGCTCCAAAAGTAGAACGATTTCACCCCTGGCCAGTATATACAATTGACATGGGAAGATTAGAAGAGTGAAGGAAGTGTCGTGACCGGCACAATCTATCGAACTGCTGAACACTGATCAAACTGATGACAGTGCTTCTGCTTGGTGATGAAACATCAAATTTGTGTATGTCGATAACAAAGGTAAGCATGGGGATAAAGATCGACTTGAATATCGCGAGCTTAGTTTTCAGACTGAGCTCTGCTTTAGTCACACGTCTGTATTTCATGATATTTATGAAAACAGATTTAGGAATGTAAGATGACACTTAGAATGCTGTGGTTTTCTATATACTGTGAAGAAGAATGTATCAGTCCATTCTCGATAAATAAGAATGTCAAGAAACGCCATCTGATTATTGTGTTCATGCTTCTAAAATAATACCAATCCATCATTTCGATTAAAAATTTTGTGAAAAACACTGCCAATCCTTCAATTCTTGTCGCCATTTCTCTGAAAGCAAAATGAAAATTACGATTTGTCACGTAGCAAAATCTATGCAGTGCTCAATCATAAATAAACTGACTTGTTTGAAGTAATGCCTTAAAAATAAGATTCTGCTGAGTTGCAGTTCATCAACATGTAAAAAGACCATTTAAAATTGCTAGAAATAGACACGATATATGACACGTCATTTTACACTCGAAATAACGATGGTTTCAATGCACAAGTCTGGGTAAAAGTATTATGCTAGATTTTATAAATCTTCACGATTCAAATGCATCAAGGACGGTATTTTATGACCATTTTCTGATAACGTCAATGAGACGTTTTTCTGCAGCTTCCGTCAACCATATCCGTGAGTCGGCATCTTCTGTTGAGACAGAATGGCGAATTGGGATATCACCACGCATTCTTTGGAATAATGCAAATAATTTTGCAACCAAAAATTCTAATCTCTGGTTTGCAAAACGAGAGTCCTTCTCTTATTTTATTCAAAGTTGGTTTAATGGCATAACGAGGGCTACGAGTCACTCACCATTGGTACATTAAGAGCCAACCTTTTCGCAGTTTCAGATTTATGATAGATGGTCATAGCTAAAAAACATAAATGCGCATGAAAATATATCACTTGGATCCGTCGATATTCGGCGATGGATCGTCCCTGACTCAACACGCCATCCCTTCATTCCTCGCGGCTTCGAGCCTTCTCCATCCATGCCTTCTCCCACAGCCTTCCCAGCCCTTGATATATTCTTCTCAACGTCGTTGTGGGCGACCGGCGGGAGGGGGGACTAGTCCGCCAGCGAGGAAACCAATCGACTATCACCTCTGATTATCTCTAGTCGGTGAGCCGAGCTACCTGCGGGGCAACCGCACCTCTGCTGTCCACGATGATACTTTTCACTTCCGTCTACTGTCTGCGCCGTGTTGGCGATGCGGTCTTGACGTCAGATTCCCAACATTATTCTCACCATGGCTATCTTAGTGACAGATAACAGACGTATTCGACTATAGTGGATGAACATGTCTCACAAAAATACAGTATTACAGGCAGGATGGTAGATTTGAAGAGGTAGGAGTGGGATTCTTTCTTGATGTTGACGAAAATGACATCCTCGACGGAATGGACCCCGCGACAACCGACCCTTTTTTCTTCGTTGAATCTGCGCAATTTGATCATGCCACATATTGATCTTTTAGCATAGGTAAACGAATTCATCGATTTCGACCTCAACATTTAACAAAATCTGGATCTCTGTCAAGGCATCCGGTGCAGCATCTTCGTCTTTGACCGATTAATTCGCAGTTCGACTGCTATAATCTTTCTTTCGAGCTCATGCAACGCGTCTTGTAGCTGACTGACGTTTCTCGCAAACAATACCACGCTGAACTATTCGAAATTGACGTTATTCACCATTAATCCCGCTCTTCCTGTCAATACTCTGGAAAACCATTTTCACACAGGCAATGAAGAGTCTGGGGGAGATAGTGCCATTTCCATTTACGTCCTTGGAAAATATAAGGTACAATACTGATCCAGTTTATGAGCTTACGACTTCTTGCGCCAAGAAAATAAAGGTTATTTTATAAAAAGCCTGTTGAAACCGAAAGTACTGATTTTAAGATTAAGAAGCAGCGCCGTGATCGGCTTGATTCGCTCACTTTCTCAGACGCAGGACTAGCAGCTAACGCAGTTAACAAACAGATACGCCTTTCGCCACTAGGCAAGCTTTCCACGGACTTGACTTGGAGGCATAACAAAGTTAGGTGTTCCCAAATCATCTGGCTCTAGCCCCACCACTTAACGGTCCGTCGTATGACCTTGAGAAGAAAGTCCTCTTTACAAAGTCTTTTGTCCGTTCTTTTTCTGGTCTCCTGAACAAACAATTAAATCGCTTAAAATCTAAAAAATATAAAGAACGTAGAAAATGAATTATGAATTACTGGTGAATGGCCGGTCCCAAGG